AAGTGCGGTGTTTTTAATATTAACACTGCAATCACTTTTAGTTTAAACCAAAAGTTTATATTTTCTGTGTTTCTACATAAAAAAATCTTGGTATTTGGCGCTTGCTATTTGGAGGAGCTTTGATAGATAAAACACTTACTAGCTTATTTATGATATTTTATTAATTTATTTTTTACGAGGTACAAGCTTTTGTTACATTCCACATTTATTGATTATTCTCTTAATAGTAGATTCGTAATTAATTCTCTTCGTATTCTCAATTTTAATTTTTTTAATTAAATTATTATTATTTAAAATTTTCTTTTACTCCATTAAATCAATTAATTTATTTTATTTCCTTTACTATTTCTAGTCGTTCGCTTTACTACGTCGTTCGCCGACCCTGATGCAGCGGTTCAAGACCGAAAGGAGAGCCTGATTATGCTTGTGCACGAGAAGGCAATCGCGAAGAGTTGTGCAATTGGAAAACATTGCAATGAGTGATGTTGTCATTAAGTTGTTCACCGCTGTGTTGGCTCAGGGGTGGGGAATTTCGGAAAACACCGTTAACGGAGGCGGACCGAATCTTGAAGTGAAGGTGAAGGAATGGCGGCGATTGGGATTCCTGGGGTACATTTATATAATTATGAAATGAGGATATGGTGAGTTTTGTTTTAATTCTTCTTTTTATTTAATGTCTTATACCTTAGTATTTTCTTTACCATTATTATATTTATCATTTAATTTACTAAATCTATTTAATAGATTAATTTTTTATATTTTAGAAATATTAAATATTTTAAATATTATTATAATTTTAAATTTATTTATATAATTTTATCTTTTTTAGTAAAAATTTGAATACACATAATTCATGGATGATTATTAAAAGCTCATGTTGAAGCTTCGTTTTTTAGTTCAATAATTTTAGCTTCAGTAGTATTAAAATTAAGAAGACACGGAATATTACGAATTATGTATTTAATAAATTTTACTTAAATTTAATAATAATTAGTTTATTTGGAATATTATTTTTAAGAATTATATCTTCATGTCAATTAGATATAAAATTAATTGTTGCTATTTCTTCAATTATTCATATAGGAATTATATTAATAAGAATAATATTAATAACAAAATTAAGATTATATGGAAGATATTTATAATAATTAGACATGGATTTATTTCTTCTGGATTATTTTATTTAATTAGTTTAATTTATAACTAAACTAATAGACGATTAATTTTTATTAATAAAGGAATGATTAATATCTTCATTAATAATGATATGATTTTTAATATGTTTATGTAATGTTGGTCTATCTGAGTGATTTTTCTAGACAACACTTTTTTCTTTACAGACGCAGTGTGCTTCCTTCCGCCATTATTCCCGCTTTAAAATCAATTGCGAGAAATATCGATTCGAGAATCGCAAAAAGTATATTGCGTATTTCATCGTTAGGGCGCTGTAATCGCAGGAAATGTTAACTGAGAATAAAAAATAAAAAACTTAGGTTTAAGTCAAATGTAGAAAATTCATGAGAAATTCTTAAAAAAAAATAAAAATATTCATACAGTAGGTGAAAAATTGTCAATACTTTAAACTATTGAAAAAAAATAGTAAAAGAATTAACTTGATTTTATTTTGAAGAATGAAGTCTCCACTTTATCCATCTTGAGTTAAAATTTTATCCTTGTTTCGTTTAAAGATATTTATTTTTACATTATGCAGCAAGTTTAAAAGTCAGAATATTTTTCTTCTCAAAAATTAAGAATTTTCTTCGCACAGTTGAAAAATTAACAGACTAGTGGAAAATATTATGATAAAGCACATATATGTGCATTTGTATTTTGTATATATGTATTAGAATTGTATATATGTGGTATTAGAATTGTTGGAAATTAGGCATTGCGAAATTAAAGAATTAAGAAAGGAGTGGAAAATATTATAAAGTACACACATAATGTGTTTGTGCTATGCATATATGTAGATACCTTGCTGAGGAGGAATTAAAAGAATAAAATAGAAAAATAGTATAGATGACAGCACATTGTTTTTCTCATTAGTTCAAAATGTACTGGATAGATGGCATCTCACTTCACAAACATGTAGCGACCGTTACCACGTCAAAATTGAAATCAGCGCCACAAGTTTTGAGAAGTTGACGAACTTTAGTTTCTTCTGATTTACCGAAAAGATCCATAAGTTTATTTTTTAAAGTAGTGTTTGTTTGTCTCTGGTGGTATCTCAATAATATTTTGTATCAGTAATGCAACATCTAGTGGTAGACGTGAAATAACATGATCAAATTTTGATGTATCACCAGTGATTTTACTCGCTCTCATACCTGCTTCAACTTGAAGAAACCATAATTTGAGATTTTCTCTATTAAAAGGTAAAAGTAGTTGAGGGGTCATTGCACCAATTGTCTTCTACGACCGGCGGAATATAAGCATCTTCAGCTATCAGTATTCGAGCTTGAACTGGCGAAGGTATGACCATTTTTCTTTTTTTAAATAATACAGATGTAACAATGTTCTTCTTCTGAGATCACGTCGGGGTCACCAAATTTGTAGTGATTATAATGATAATATTATAATACTACAAGTAAATAAGAAGAACTTCGTAACTTTAGTAACTTTTAATAAATTATAATAAATGATATTTAAATATCAATAAAGTTTATAGCATAAATAGATAACTGGTTAATTAGGGAAATGAATGTTAATTAGGGAATGAATAACAAATTATAAATTAGGGCCTATATATACATTTCTATAAATAAGTAAACGTGGTAATGACATGTCCATAGTAATAATAAAAATAACATAACAATTTATAAATGTTCTTATGTTAAGAGTGTTTATATGCAGTTAGCGATGTTTACAGGAAACGTACTTTTCGGCAGAACAATTGTTTTGTTGTAGATGGCGCTGATTTCAATTTTGCCGTGGTAACGGTCGATACAAACAAGGATAGTAATATCAAGCGACAAGGATAGATATCGCTTCGCGGCGCTAACATTTGAATGTCCATAAATCGATGAAAAATTTGTAAAAAGAACTAATTAAGGGGATTAATTTGTGAACTTCTTTGAGTTTTGCATCTTTAAAATTAGTCTCTCATCTTTCCTCCTATGTCCCATTCATCTCTTGCATAAATAAGGATTCAAAAATTTTATTTAATGGATCGAAGTATTCAAGCTCAGTAATATTTAATTTTTCAAAAAATATATTCGAAATTTGGATTAGAATTGGTATTAAAAGGGTACCTGTAATGAAGCAAGTATTCACTTTGATTCCATATAATAAAATTCATTCACAGAATGTATGTACTTTTCATACGAAAGATAAGTTTTGAAAATGCTATCTACTATTTACCTATCTACTTATGTAAAATTTTCATTACTTTAAATATCTACATACATATTCATATTTTAAATGAAATAACAATTCTTTCACTCGGTCTATGAACTAACAAAATTGGGAACTTTCTTTTTACACAATAATTCCCTGAGTATTAATATCCTATATTACTTTATACAAATCGGACAGAGGAACAGAAGTGTAATAATAATAATTAAAAAATAATAGATAAAATCATAGTTAAAAAAAATTAGAAAAAAAATTACATAAAGAACTTAAGAAATTGGAAGATTCTTATTGGAAATTTCTTCCAATGTATAAACTTTTCTTTATAAACTTTGACTTTATAAATTATATTTATAACGTTTAATGTTCAAGATCTACTTTAGTATGCATACAAGCTGCAAAAACAAGCAACCCTTGATCTATCGATTTATCTGCAATATTTTATTACTTTCCATTTTTCATTTACAATTTAATGTAAAGGCAATGTATAACCAATTTCTTTAGGAGAAAACGAATGAATTTTTTTTAACAATCTTTTTTAATCTTATTTTTTCTTTCAGGCACAGACTTCTCTTCGACTTCCTTCTTAAATAATGATAATTTTTCTTATTTCCTCCCCACTCCAACACATTAATGCGCGAAGCGAATCCGTTGCGCGTGGAATTTGTTTAGTATCGGAAGTCATGGAGTAAGGATGTGTTACTTTGCGTGATGTTTATTATATACTGTCTAACACTTTCCTCAACATCTTTTGGTACGTATATTTCTACTCAATACTTTATTAAATGTTATGCTAATTGATAGATTTTGATCGTTATATTTATTGAAGTCTCATAACCTCTCAAAATGATATTCGATCTTGATCATTGTTTGATCTTGATCATTATTTCATTTTTATATAATTTAGTCTTTTGATACATTTACTTAAGAATTTTGATTTTCTTCTGTGTAGGTAATCAACGAATTGCGAGGGAAATTTCGAAACATTCGAAAGACTCGGCCACCATGAAAGTCAAGAGGACGGATACCGCGAAATTCAAAAGAACATCATTTGACTTCCCTGGGCATCGTTCTTCAAATTTAATCGTAAGTCGCATGCATTTTGATAATTTTATAATTTATATTTTATATGAACTACTATGTAATTAAGTACCAACTACTATAGAGTTATATATATTTTTTCAATTTATTCAACGATATTAATTGGAAAAGTTAGTTTGTTTTCACATAAGAGTGTATATATATACTATATTAGAAAAGTAAAAATATTATTTCTATTATTTACACGAGGCTACATTTATTGAATCTTCTTATGCAATATTCCTTTCAAGAAAAGAAACTGTCTAAAAATTATATATGTTTATTGGTCATAAATTTTTACATCTAAATAATTACACAAATATAGTAGTATTGCTTAAACTAAATTCCATGAATATAGTACAATTATACTACTTTATTTTAATATTCAAACTTGAGTATACTAATATACTAATTGTTTGATAATACTATTTTAAATACTATATTAAATTGATAATACTATATTAAAGTATTTTACATTACAAGTGCACTTAAATTGCGACCTACATTAAACTTAAAACTAAAGACTTCCATTCATAAACTATAAATATTAAAATGAAATTACAATACTGTTATTAAATAAAAAAAGTGAAAGATGTAATGTAATTAACAAAAAAAAAAAAAAAATGTAAAATTGACAAAAATTAAAGTAATCTCATTGACAAACATTCATAATAAGATAATTCAATGAAAAGAATATAGTGAATGATTTTACTGGATTCTCAATTTCCAACAAAGATTGTTCAATCTAAACAATAGCTGTCTGTTTTGTTCTATTTTTTCCGCTATGATTTTAAAAAGCTCTCCATAGCTCATATTTTCATCCAGATTAATATTGTTGCAAAATTCTTCCTTTGGCGTAGATGAGCATAGAATTTCCTCTGTCTGTGTACCGACAGATTTTTTTTCGAAAATCATTGATTCAAACATTGTTGTACTTCGACTACGCGTTAAAATTACTTTTGAATTGTTGCAAGAATAATTTTCTCTTGTCTTGCCTCCTGTATATGAACTTAATTCCTTGATTCGTTGTTGTACTGGCCATTTAGTACACGTATAATTAATAGTCCTCATCATTCCGTGTTTGCAACATTTCTCTTTTTCGTGAGTATTATTGCTATACAACATACCATGCTTTCCAAAGTTTGACATTTTTGATACCTAGAATACAGAAGAAAATCCAAAATTTTAAACAAATTTTTAGTTTAAAAATAAAATTCTGATAGTTCATTTATTTGAGGAGTACCTATCGAGTTGTAAATGAAATTAATATTTTAGCAATTTTGCAATAATATTAATATTTTTATATTCAATTTAAAATTATCTACCAATAATTGATAATAATTGATAATAATTACTAATAATAATTATTAATAATTATATAATATTTAACTATTTCTAATAGTTAATAGCTAATTTATTAATTATTGAGTATTCCAGCTTTGACGAAGCTTTGAATAATAGATACAGCAAACAGCAGTTTGCAGTTTCTAATAGAAAATTAAATCGAGATATTGAAACATTATGTTACTAATTTTTTTTTTTGGAATTCAAACGAATGTTATCATATATCGAATGTTTAAAAGAATTTTAATAAGTAATAACTAAAGTAAAGTAGTATCTAAAAAAATTACTATTATAAAGTAGTATCTAAAAATATTATAATATATAATAAAAAGTAAATAATAAAATAACAAGTAAAAAATTGCTTATTATTATTAATTATTGTATTAATTTTCCACTGTTTTTTCATATAGCTAGTATAATGTTAATACAATTATATACATATATTCAAACCACGTGCTTTCGATATTATTATTTGGTTAGAATCACATTAGCTTTAATTTATTAAAATGTTGATATGAATATGCAACTTAATATAAATTACTCAGTTAATTTTTTTACCTTTATAACGTAACCTCTGTCACAGCATTAAAATACATGAAATAACAGCAATGAGTATCTTGCACACGTATTGTTTATTAAAACAATCACCATGTTCAATAAGATGTGCAATTTCTTTTACTGACAATGAATGTTACTCCATCTATGACTAATCTAATGTACGATGTTCACTACTCGGTGGATAATTCATGATCACTTCCAAGAATCGTTCGTGTAGCTAGACCATCGATTACATTATTATATTTTCAAAGTATAGTTTTGCATAATAAAATAATATTATTTTATTCGGAGGGAATCTTAATATTAATTATCATTAGTAGATCTCGTTTATAATAGATTATGAAGTTTCTATTTTTTCTATTTTATTTATTTTTTATTATTCGTATTTATCTACGAAGATAGACGAGTGTGCATGAAATAAAATAATAGTATCTGGTTCAGAAGTTACTGATATTAAATTTTTTTTTTCTCCGCGTTGTATAAAATGAAGAGTTCTTACTTTATCGCAAGGATAAACCTCGATGGTTTCAAGTTAGATATGCTCGAGATTCCTGCCTTTCATACAACGTTCATTCGCATTCGATTTCTGATCCCCTTTTCTCATCCTGCGATGTTATCACATACCGGAGGCAATTTGATTTATTCGAGTATATCGAACTTTCTTCCAGCAAATCGTTAACTAGTTGCAAAGTAGTTCGAAAATTAGAAACGACGTCTTATTTCTTGCATCGTGATTTTAAAAATATATACGTACAGAAATTTTATATGAGGTTTCAAGTATGATAAAGAATTTTAACGAGTTATCGTAGGGCCAAGAAAATCTACATGCATAGAGTTCTTTAATAAATTTGTTTGTTAATTTCATTTTATTAAATGTTGAAACATGAAAAATGACAGAGAGTATAATGTAATTTTGAAGAAGTTCTATCTCTATCTAGATTCACGTTGCTCACGTCAGTTTGTCCTCAACTTGCAATTAATAACAGATTCATGTGTGATGCTATGCTATTATATATTATTATTTAACGAAGAATATAATTCAATCTAAATCTATAAAGGCTTCTTTAAACCATATCTTGAAAATTGTGATGATCTCAATAAAATGTTAACGTCAGTGTCTGGAACAGATGATGACATTGATATTTCGTTAGACTGTCAGTAGCCATGTTTCGTACAAACTATCAACCACCTATCAATAGCAGATACCTGTATTTCATTTATTCGTAGATTTTGCTCTAGAGCATTTATATTTTATAATAATCACTTACATTAACGATTGAAAAGTAATATTTTTACTCGCATTTTTATTAAAATCAAAATCGAAATGCTTCGTGCGCTTGGCAGTTTTATGCAAATCTACGTCAGCATTTCGGAATGCAAAACGCATTGTATATTGTAATTCTCATTTTGTCGTTGGATAAGGATAATTTTATCATTCCTCTTTTCACTGAAAGTATCAGTTTCGACAGCCCGGAGGGAATGAACTTAAATACTTTATTCTGGCTTTTCAACCAAGCAATCTTCAGTATGATGGAATGTGCGGTCTGCGAGAGAGAGAGAGAGAGAGAGAGAGAGAGAGAGAGAGAGAGAGAGAGAGAGAGAGAAATGAAATTCTGCTTGGGGAAGATGAAACCAACTTACGGAATCTCTCCGAGACAATCATAAAACCAGAGTACATAAGCAAAAGAAAAATATGATTTTCTGATTTCTTTTTTTTAAAGAACATTTAATCGTGATGTACTTTTATTCGAAAAATAATGTCTTATTAATATTTGTGGAATATTGTCTTTTAATTATTGTTTGATATTGCTGCTTTTGATTTTATTTTCACTCATGCTTAATTTCATTCTTTTATAATGCTTAATGTTAGACAATCGCGTCAATTGTACATTTATATCAATTATTCATCGTCAAGATAGATCTTTAACCCGTTGCACTCGAAATGTCATCTCTTCTGCCATACTCTGTTCATTGAAATAATTCAAAATGTCAGGTAGCATTATACGTATACATATATTTCCTTCAGAGATAATTCAAATGGTTATCTGTACAATTATTGCATCTGACTACTCGCAATTATGTATTTGAGAATATGTATTTCTGCAAAGTAACCATTTTTTAAAAGATACCATACTGTGAAACATAATAAGGTATAAATGTGCATAAATTACATTCACTCAATGAAAGCTAAGATTTAGTATTTCTTATTGTTAGCCGTACAATAAACATTTAATTCTTTATTTAATAAATTCCCTTTACAATTATCAAATTGTTGCGCACATACAAGAAAGAAAAAGAAAATAATTCCCGAGTGCAAAGGAGTTAAAATATAAAACGTCCGAAGCTAATTTTTATTAATCATCCCTTGAATCACCAATCTAGAACACCGATCGCTCATCTTACCTTACTAATCTGACCAATCAGCTTCTAAGATCTACGCTCACGCTTTCCTTCCATGTCAAAAAAATCACATCGTTCAATCTTCTTCAGGAAAGCCCACTCCCGAAGGCGCAAACACGTAAGAATCATTCCATCGTCTTCAGAGCGCGCTTTATAGCGCAATTCACGTTTGCCCATCATTTATCCAATTTTCGTACGACACAGATAAATCAACACGCTATTCTCAGACATTCGTTTCACGTTGATTGACGGACACTGATAAGAAACAACCGAGATAAGGTTGTTTCTTTCTCTGTCTCTGATGAAGGTTAAATGTCACGCAGGCATCAGGACGACCAAACGTCTGATTGTTCTTTTCCTCGGTTTGTGTTCTCGTTTTCCACGCGAAATCATTGGAAATTCCTCGTCCCCTTCTTCTATCCACCCTCGGTTCTTCACGTTTCTCCGTACGCAACCCCACTTGCTATCCTTCGAGCGACCTATCAGCGCTCTACCAGCGTCGAATGGCATTCAGTTCTCAGCGCGCCGCGACACGAGCAACCACCGTTTCGCTAATCGTGCAACTCGCGAGCTCGTTCGCCGATCCGATCAATAAATTCGATCGCGGATTCGCGAGATCGATCGATTGTAAACCGTTTTATCTTATTAATTCGTTTCCAAATGTCGAGAAGTTTTATCGATGAATTGTTACGCTTTCGTGAATAGTTACTCCCCCCCGATGAAGGGCCATTCGAGCTTGTAAAAGACGCGCGACCATTTTACTTTTTTTCTTTATTTCTGTTTTTATTTTTTTTCCTTTTTTTCTTTTGTTGGTAAAATTGGACGAAGTAACAGTTTGAAGCAAGTTGTGAAATCCTAGAATAGTGCTTGGGATTCACCCACCAGAAGAGTTGGCGAGGTCTCAATTTTCGTAAAAGGTTTCTTCATGACCGATCGTGTTCATTGACAAACTGATTCAATCTCGAGTCTACCAAGCCGTGATTGCAGCTGTGAGTACCTCTTTATGTCTTAATTTATTTTTAAAATGTACAAAATATTCAGAGCAATACGTGCGAGTTGGAATTCTTATGAATAGACTGCAAATTTTCATGCCGATTCGCATTTTTTTTTTTTTTTTTTTTGTCGAATGCGATTATCAGTATAGAGCTTGGAGATTTATTTCTTAATCTCCGCTAAAGCATACTGTAGCATACTTTGGATATTTTATGTATTGTATTTTTGTATGTTACGTGAACTATTGAATTTTTAAAGCAAAAACTCCGCCGTCTACTTATAAATTACGACTCGATTTGTACTCTGTGATTGTATTTATTGATCAAGCTTCGATTACGTCGAAATTTATAGCCAGATTTATCGCATAAAATTTTACTAAAATCATAAAGTTTCTAACATCGATATTGTAATATATATAAATCGTAATTCTTGAACGTACATGAAGTCGTAAACAAAGTTCATTTCCAAGAATTTTTGTTTTGCAAGTTTTACGTTTTTGCTTATTTCACGAACAACTGTGAAATTGTACAGCTGTGTTTTGAAACGTTTTTGGTCAATAGGTTGTCGTAAAAGATAGTAGTGCGTTGTGGTAATATTCAATGTCGATATCATGGACGATGTTTCGATAACAAACGGTGGTTTGAGGGAAATTTTCACAGGAATCAATACTGCTTATCGAAGTCGCTGTGTAAACGATCCTAATCGCGAGTCACGCAGCTTTGCGATAAATAAATTCTCATATACGCGAGAGAAAGAGAATTGAACTGTCGTTGTAGCATTTGTTTCTTTTTAACCCTTTATGTTCGAAATTTTTTAAAAATTTTATTAAATTTTTGTATCTTTAAATCACTTATGATTTATTATCGAATTTGCTATCGTAGGGGAAAAGGAAATATATAATAATTTTAATATTGTATACATAATAGAGCATCTCTCATGTCAATCTTTATTTTCCGAGTATTTCAATATTTTAACGTTGTATCACCATTGTCTGCTAATAACAGATAATCTTCTACACATGGATATTCTACTTTGACAATTTAAATATTAAGATACATATTTGCAAAATAGAAATGCACACAGGAAAGATTCATTCGTGTTATCTATTAAGGACCAATGTTATGTGACAGTAACATTTCATTTTTTTTTTTCGATTTGCATCACCAAGTTTTCTTTTTTAATATTGGAACTATGAAAGAAAATAATATGGAAATATTAAGATTCACCTAATATATTTCCATCGTACGTTTCCATGTAGATTCTACAATTTTCTAAAATTTGAAGAAATCGAACCATTTGTAATATTATGATCAATTATTGCTTGGTTCTAGGTTAAAAGGGTTGAAGTGCAATGGATTGGAAAAATAAGAGTAATAGTAATACATTAAGCATTGCACAAAGCAAGAACGTTTAAACATTCTCGTTTACAAATGACATTTTCATTTTTCATCACGTTTTTGAGTGCCAGAATTGTTGTCAGATTAGTGTGATGTAAACGTTTATACGAGGGATTAAATTGTTGTGAAAATTACAGTGTGAAATTTCACTTTTTGCCATTTGTCAATACGTGCACGCGTTTGCGAACAATTACGTCGTTTAAATTTGCTTTACGTTGTAGCGTATGAACTTGGGAACGAATATTCTACAATTTCAATATTGAGACAGATAATGAGATATGATCTTAGATACGGTGCGTTTTTATGAAATTTTTAACGTGTCATTACGATGTAATGACGCCGGGAGAATGCCTTTCGAATGCTTTTATTAAATTTTAAAAACTGGCATTGAATTTCGCGTTGAAATAATTTTTGTGGACGATAAAATATTTATTTAAAGGACGATATAACGGATGGGGAATAGCTTAAACAGGAATTTTTAACATTTCAATCGCTTGTAAACTGTTATCCTCCTTTGTTCTTTGCATCTATTTTTTTTATCATTTTTGTTTTTCTATATTCCTTTAATCCGAATAAATCTCTTTGAGAAGGAATTTTCATTGAAAATCTGTATTAAAAAAAAAATGTTTCATTAATGATTCGGTAACTAATGATCACTGCAATCAAGATGCTATAATAATGTAAAGATACTCTTTCGTTAAGAACGTATTACACTTGAAAATTCAATTTCAGGATTTCCTCGCCACTTAAAACAGAAATTGAATTTATTAAATTGCATTGCCGAAAATATAATTCACAAACGCATACTATGTCTCAGCCTCTCGGGCCAAAAAAACCATATTTGTAATTTATGTTTACAATTTCTTTCGTCTGATAATTTGCCGTAACATATATTTGAATTTCATCTAAAATTGAAATAAAAATATTTTCTACTATTTACACTTGACAGAGATGAACACGCGCTCAGTTTGCATATATGTGACATCTTCGTAGACTTCAGATTCTAATGTATCTCGAGCAAATTGAAACTTCGCGTAATTGAAAGACTCGAAAAAATATTCGAATCAACACCTATCTCACACCATCGTAAAATTCCGTGAAAAAGTGAAAATTGAGTTTCCACGTAGTCGCTATATTAACGTCATTTCGAGGTTCTTTCGTCCTAGCGAAACATTTTATATTTTTCAATGTGAAGTATAATTTATGTCTCGGCGATTTTGTTGCGTCGACCGTTATTGAGATCAATTTAGTTATTTTTAATGAATTTTTCAACAAAGTATTGCTATTTTGTAGAAAAAATAATCCGATTAATATAGAGAACACTTTATGGTTCAATACCTTATTTTATTAATCTATTAAAGTTCAGGCGCTCTTTACATTGTTGCTCTTTACGACGTTATTAACATAAAATTTCGCTTCGTAGGCGAATTGTTTTTAATATGAAATTACTTTGTAGGAATTGTTTTTAATATGAATCATTTTGTAGCGCAACTCTCATTAGATTGCGAATTTTTATGTATTTACGGTACAACTTGGAAGTTGTTTGGAAGAATGAACAGAAAAGAAAAAATAAAATCTAAAATTGAATAACATAACATAGAAAATAATAAATCGTGTTATAAAAATAAAACGTAATGGACAAAAATCTATAAAGTAAAGTAATTGTTATAATATACATAAAAATTCACAGTCTGATCGTTACATTCGCTATTGAAATTATCAATCAAGTTTGATTAAATCTTACTCTAATAACTTTGATCTTTTTCGTTTCTTCTTTATAAATTATCGTTATAAATTATCAATTTCCGACAAATTCAATTGTATCAATTTTCAATTTTTTACAAATATCTTAATGTCAGAAAGTTTTTGCGAATAATACATCTCGCGAAAATAAATTGATAGAATCATCGTCCCTTCTGTTATATAATGTGAAATATCCTCTTATCGACAATGATTTGTGCGATCGACGATTTGTAATCATTTATCACAGTCGTTCCGACTTAAGAACGAAATATTAGGACGTAAATGGTTCGAAGGAAAGCCGGTTTAACGTTTCAAGTGGAAAAGTTAAATTGGATTTGTTACCTGGTATAATGCAGGATGGGCCAAAAATAAATCCGTAATTTTTTTATTATTTATTTTTCAACATTTCAGAGAAATAACTTTTTGAAACATAATGAAAAAATTATGTTGTTTGAACTTAAATTTAATTTAAAATTAATAAAATCAGTTTTTTTCTTATATTTTGATGTTTTCTTAAAAAGAAGAAGAAGAGGAAGAAGCTTTTAGTCCAGCCTGTATCTATGACCCATAACTGTATAACATTAAGCAATTTATCGACGGTAAAGTTAAATTTTTTAAAAATATATAATCACATTCGTTTCCAGTTTCAATTTTAATTTAATCCTCTGTAAGTAGAATTTTTGCTTTACTAATTTAATATGTTGGAACTCATAATTGTTACAAATAATAAAATGAAATAATTCACATAGTATTTTTTGTAACGATGTATCTATACACAATACTAAAGCAGTCGGTGTACAGAAAGTAAAACTTTTCAAACTGTGAATGCAAGGATACGTAACTTTCAGTATTTACTTTTCATGATATTGTTGAGGGTTAAATAGAGATACGTCCTCCAGAAGGATTGAAAATCTTTTTCTTCAGTATGTCGACGTAAAGTATGTACGTTCAATGAATAACAAAGAAGATCCCTCGAGATTATATCGTCCTTTTTCATAAAATGAAAGCTGGCTTCATGGAGGTCACGAGATAGATTTCTTAATTACATAGAATATCTCTGAACATTCGTTGTTTTAACAAAGCCAGTGATTTATGGGAATACCTACATGCTTAAACAATTAATAATAGCGCAGCTTTCAATGTGGAGATTATCCGGTATTTATCTAAAAATGAATCAAAAAATATTACGCACATAAAGGAATAAACGAACGAAAGAATTTCGCCAATTTCGACGATATTTCTTAATCATAGTTATACAGCTGTGGAGAATAGAAGTATCACGTTAGTAAGTATTGATCTTCAAGTTAATCAAACTGTTAGGAATTTCAGTAGAATTAAACTCGTATCTGCATTTTTATGTCATTGTTCGCGGATGTCTTAATTAAGAAACGCTCCTTGTTAAGAGACATCGAGTATAATAGTCTCCTTATAAATTATTTCAACAATTATCGCTATTTTTATTAATACCATTAACGAGAATGGTTTCCCTCTTCCTTTTTGTCGTCGAATTTAATTAAACGACAACACAATTCCGCTAAAACATTGCTTTATAAAGTTTGGGCATTATTTTAATGAATTATTTGAAAAATAATTATTTAAACAACGCATAATCCGGAAATGATTCTACGTTAGTTCGTCTGAGCAAGCTCTAAATTATTTCATTAATGGCTCTCGAATTTTCCACTTCGTTTCGTGTCCCTCTTTACAAATAATTTCCTAAAATGATTGCATAAACTATCGCTTCCGTTCGGATCGTTGTTTGTTCCAGTGAATTAATTCAAATAAAATTTGCAGAATTTTCTGCTCTTTCAAGGTTTTCTTTCTCTCTTCTCAGATAAAAAACGATAATTTAGTGG